TGGACTCTGCTGCTCACTTCTGGGGAACGGGAGTGTTGCTTTTGACATGACATATTTTGGTCGGATCATGTCTGTGTACAGCCAGAACAGTTGGTTATGGTTAATTCATTTCCATATCTAAGTTATTGGACTGATTTTAAAAGGGTGTGTCTGATATCAGCAGAAAGATTTAATTTTCCTAGGAATAAGAAATCTGGGCATCCATCCACCTTTCAAAGGATCTTGGAGTCACTCTTGAATTTTGCTGAAGAGAAAGCTGAAGCCCTATGTCACGTGGGCTCTCGTATCCCAGCTGAGACCTGACCCAGAGTCTTTTATTGCCACTGATACTGTTTTTCTCTTGTGCTAGCTACTTTCTCAGATGATTCCTTTATGCATATAGAAAAAATGTGGCCAAAATTTTTTAAAAAGAAAAAAATAAGAGGAAAAGCCAGGTAATCTTAGGCAGAGATACATGTTTTTTCAAAATAACATGTATGAAAATCCTTGTTCACATGTCATGCTGCTGAGAAAGCTCAACTCTTTGCAGAAGGTCTTTGAGGACCAAAAGAGTCTTTAAGGACCAAGACAGGACTGAGCTTCTGTTTATGGGGACCAACAGGATCCCCCATAGACAGGAGTCCACACACTGCTGGTTACTCTGGCTTTTCTTTTCTTTCTTTCTTTTTTTTTTGAGTTGGAGTTTCACTCTGTTGCTCAGGCTGGAGTGTAGTGGTCCACTCACAGCCACCACAGCTTCCACCTGCTGGGCTCAGGTGATCTTTTCACCTCAGCCTTCCAAGTAGCTGGAACTACAGGTGTGTGCCACTGCACCCATCTAATCTTTTGATTTATTGTAGAGACAAGGTCTTACCAAGTTGTTCAGACTGGTCTCAAACCCCTGGGCTCAGGCGTTCCTCTTGCCTCTGCCTCCCAAAATGCTGGGTTTGAGCCACTGCGCCTGGCCTTACTCTGACTTTCTTTAACCCTGCACCTGTCTCCTGTAATGGATGCAAAATGGTTTCTCTTTTATTTTTGTTTACTACTATTTTTTTTTTTTTTTTTGAGCTGGGCGTCTCACTTTGTCACCCAGGCTGGAGTGCTGTGGTACAATCATGACTCACTGCAGTCTCAACCTCCTGGACCAAGGTGATCTTCCTGTTGCAGTCTCCTGAATAGTTGAGACTACAGGCATGAGCCACCACACCTGGCTAATTTTTAAATTTTTTTGTAGAGATGAGGTTTCAAAATGTAGACCAGACTGGTCTCAAACTCCTGGGCTCAAGTGCTCCTCCTGCCTCAGCCTCCCAAAGTGCTAGGACTACAAATGTGAGCCACTGTACCGGGCTTATTTTTTTCTTTTAATTAAGAGCTATTCCTGAGAATTATCTTATCAATGGATAAAGGATGGGAATTAGAAATATGTGGCATATATTTGTAATTGATTTTTACAAAATGAGTGGTGGTTATTTGATGTCAGATGTGGAACTTCTAACAGTGAAAGAGGCTAGGTGGACTTTGACATATATGAATCATCTGTATTAAGGTGAAATGTGAAATGCTGACTTTTGAGAGAAAGGAAGAAAGGAGGAAGTTTTTATCTTCTGCTGCTATAGTTCTTGAGACATGAGTTATTTCTTTGAAGCTATTGATTTAGGAATGAAAATTTTGGCTTGCTTCTTCCTCCCTCCCTCCCCACTCTGTCGCTCAGCTGGAGTGCAGTGGCATGCTCATGGCCATCGCAGCCTATACTTGCAGGGCTCCAGCGATCCTTCCGCCTCAGCCTTCCAAGTAGCTGGAACTACAGATGTGCACCACCACACCCGGCTAATTTTTTAATTTATTGTAGAGATGAGGTCTTGCCAAGTTGCCCAGGCTGGTCTCAAACCCTTGGGCTCAGGCAATTTTCTCACCTCGGCCTCCCACAAGTGCTGGGATTACAGGTGTGAGCCACTGCCCTTGGCAACGTTGGCATTCCAAATATAATTTCTTAGCTAGCACTGATATTTGAGGATAATTGTTGATGTCCATAGTTGACTAAGTCTTGGTAGTTGGTTCCCCTCACCTAGTGTTTTATATATATTTTAGGACACATGTATGAGTGTGAGTACTCTCCAGGTCAGTACCTAGGTCTGAAATGGTTTTACCTATGAGAACCAACTTTTTTTTTTTTTTTTGAGTTGGAGT